TTATCATTCTACTCTCAATTCTGAATTGCTCAAATTGTCAAGAACCATACTCACCTCCTCGCTTCCCCTCTGTTCACAGCAAGACGTCCCGAATCTCACCAGCACTGTAAAATAAACTCACTTACCTTTTCATCTTGTCTCCTGGTCTGGTCTCTCAGCTCCGCTGACCTGTTGAACTAAGTTAGCATCTTGTCACAGCTAAGTTAAATGTGACCTCTATCCATCCTAAATAAGGTAAGTCTTGACCATTAGCTGCAATGAGATTTAAAGTGTTATTGTTTTCAATGATTTCAGAAATGTCTTTCAAAGTTAACTTGTGGTAGTTATTCTGCTTTCCATTGTTCACTTACTACAGTCACTTGTGAGCCAGAGTCCCACAAAGCTCTAACTTTCTGACCTTGGATGTAACAGTCAATCAGGTATTTTTTTCCAACTAATGAAGCAAACTGAACTTGATTTTTCTTTTGTGGTGTAGCTCGAACTGTGCTACAAGAAGTATGTGAACAATCGTTCTTATGAACAGCCCAGTGTTCATGTTGGCATCCCTCAGAACAGTATAACACACTTTTACATGATGAACATTGTCTCAGTCTTACCTTTATCCCACCTACACCACAGTAGGCACAGAGTTGGGGCACTGCTGACAAAGCGGTCACTCCCTGCCCCGCKGGGGTAACCCTTGCTCGTTTAAAGAACTCCCACTGAATTGTCTCGATCTCCTCATTCTGCAGCCAGCTGAGAAGTGTTCATTGCTGCCACACCTGAAACAGTGAGTACAGTCCTCCAAATTTTCCTGCTGGCAGGCATAGCATCTCCTCCTAGGACATGGTGAAGCTGTGGAGAGTGAGTGTCGATTTCCATACATCTGGTGGGGTGGAGGATGATCATGTTGTCCTGGTAGGGATGGTTGATAGTTGTGATGCTTTAAAGGGGGTTGCAGGTAGCTATATTGGACAGGAGGTGGATGGTAACCATGATGTAATGCAGGCTTGTGTGTCAGTGATGGGTTGGGGTAGGCTGATGCTGACGAGGTGGTGCGCATTCTGGTCCAGATACTGGGGTTGGGTTCTGCCTCTGTAGATAGAGGGGCTGCTGCATAGACACTTTAATGGAAGATACTTCAGCTTTAAGATCTTTAAGGAGAGTCATGTTTGCTTTCATCTCCTGCAGTTCTGAAAGTATATCTGTTTGGCTCTTACTGTGACTCAGCTGGTTTATCTTCTCCTTCTTTTCCAACAGTGGCATGGTCAGACTGAGCAGAGTGAACAGTAACAGACCGCTGTGGTGTGTTCATTTTCTTTTTTTCCTGCCTCTCACTTTCATAGGCACATGCAATATTTAGTTTCTCAAACAGAAGTTCATCAGAAACACCAGCTTCCTCCAGGAATGGCTGGAGATCATGTTTTGTTATCATTCTGTAAGCCTGTCATAACTCTATAGAGAAACATGTTTTGCACCAGTACTGGATCATACCTTAAGCCTGACTCTGACTCTTGTGAGGCAAACAGAATCTTCTGTCTCAGATCAAGAGTGCGGGTAAGAAAGCTCCGAGGAGTCTCTTTAATGCCCTGTGCTTCTGACGACAGCTGTTTATATAGTTCTGCTGCGCTCTTCTTCTGATAATGGCAGCGCAGTATTCACCTCAGGGTGGGCAGTGCGAGGTCACTTTTCCCCTCTAAATAGCTTCTTAACTGCATCCCCAGAACAATGGCCCTTATAACAGCATCAACAATCTCAGTCTCTGGAAAACCCTTGAGAAGGCCATGCTCAATTTGCCGTGCTAGGCTGGAAAATGTGAGACGATCTTTCTGTCCTGGTTCTCCAATTTGTCCAGCTACTTTGAATTCTTTGTGCCAAAGTGGAGGGGTCGGACCTGGAGCTGAACCTGAAGTTGTCATTCTGAAGGTGGATAAGGTGGCCTGAAATTTATGTTCATTCTCCTTATCAGTACTTTTTATTTGGAGTGGTAAACATGACTAAGAAGGTCTGTTGTCTGTTGATGTACTGTCCTTTGTTTCATCAGATTTATTTTGTTCTTCATTTTGTGTTGCTTGAAGTTCCTTTACTTGGCCACCTGTAGTCTCAATTTGAAGTTCAGTTATCTTGTCTTTAAAACAGAGAAGTTGTGCCATCCCCATGTCCTCCAAGTTCTGTAGTTCTTCACTCTGCAGATGATTACTAATTATTAAGATGAATGATGCTCTGTTCTTTCCTGTCACATGCTCAAATTTTAATCCAGCAATGGTGAGGAAATCACATACAGTAGTCCTATTAGGGTGTCTACAGGCAGTGTACACAAAAGTCCCATTATTTCCAGTTGTAATGCCTCTGCCTCGGTTGACTCCATTTTCTTTGTTGTAGTGACTTAGCGATGACTGTTGTAGCAGTGACTGATTTACTAAACCTTGATTGCAGTGCTCCTGGTACCTCAGGTTTACCTCAGATTGCTTGCCCTTTGGTCATAGCCACTTAGACTGCCACACAATTGTCCACTAGGTGTCAACTTTTTGGGTGAGTTAAAGGGAGCTGAATGAGAGCTGGAGACGTCTGGTCATGGCAGAAGTCAAGKCTAGCCTCACTCAATCCCAGCGGTGCCTCCAAAATGTTACGCCCCTGTAAAGGAGAATAAGGAAGAACAGACACTGACACGATGTGAATTCTGTCGCCTCCAGCGTTGTAWTGGCCGAGCAGAAGCAACACGTTTCCCCTTTATAAACTCAGACTAAACCAATCGAGACACGATCGGTAAATAAACTCACAAAACTTAAAATCTGAAAAGGTTGCACTATCTAAATACAACATAACACAATCAATAATCTGAAAGTTTTCAAGAAAACACCTTTAAAACATATTTTAACTTGCACACGTTATTATTGCATCAGTCTGTGGTTTTTATCTCACAAGACCAAAATAATTGATCACAGATAACTAGATCGACAATCACAGTACATCTCATTTCCATGAATTTTCTTCAGGTAGAGACATTAATTGTGAGGGTTTTTTTCTGTTTTAACAAATACAAAACAATATTATTTTGCTTACTCTTTTTTTCTAAAAACAATTTTATAACCACTACATGTGCAGTCTAAAGTAAATGTCATAGTAATGAATTGTGAGCAGGAAACCATAAACCATAGCATTTTTGTTGACAAGTTTACTCTCCCAAAACAATGTTAAAATGGTGAAAATAGTGCAGTCTATGGTTTAAATACAATCTACAGTAAGTGTTAAGCCCTACATGTAATTCCATCTTATTTTGTTTGGACATCTGAAGTGTTAGAATATTTCCAAGCCGCACAACTACGAAGCATTTTGCTTTCTCCTCTCTGCCACCTCCAATATGGCGGCGTATGTCGCTCGTGGCTCTAAATCCAAGATGGCGTCGCTTTGTTTGCAACCGGAAGAATGCAACTCCTTCGCAATATATTGTATATTGATCAGTCGTTTTTAACGAATAGCCAAATATTTAAGTATTCTTGTTGTATTTTTATTCATGTGTATTGTCTGAACCATTTTTTAAAAACCTTTCGTAAAGAGAAAAAAAGTAAACGCGTATGCGCTTTTATTTTGAAACGCAAAGAAAAGTTGCGCAGTAGGTTTCCGCTCAGCTTGACAGATCGATTGTTATCACAACAATCCAGACTTTAAAACTGGTTCCAGGGACGTCGGAGCGGGTCTGGTTTGTTTGGGTCAACTTGTGTGGGACTGTTTTGTGGTTAATTTTGTTTGTGTCCGGAACAAATCCGCACGAGTTTGTTTCACCATGGTTAAAGTCTCTTTTAACGCCGCTTTGGCCCAGAAAGACGTAAAGAAAGATGCTGAAACTCTGATCCCCGAGGAGGACAAGGTGAGCAGAAAATGGCTATCTGAGCTCAGCTCTTTACTCGGCTCGAAGAGGAAGAAAGAAACTCTTCGTTTTAATGTGCAGGACAGGATTCTGTTAGTCCAGGTTTTGGTTTTTCACTGCTGGTTGAACTTTCCGCGTTTAACAAGCAGCTTTTTAGCATATTTTAATTTTAAAGTCGTCTGAGTTTAAGGTTTTCCTGTTTGAGTGTATTCTTGTTTAATCTTCTTTACTCGATGCTTTCTTGTCTAAGGCGCAATGTTAAAAGCAGAACATTTTTAATATGGTTTGTTTTTGTTTAGTAAGTCTAATGAGCTCAGGTTAAAGAACGACTGATAAGTTTTATCTGTTTTATTTATTTTTGTTTTTCAGGATTGTTTTCCATTGTCATGATTAAATAACTGGATATTTTCAGATTGTAATGTAAGCCACTTTTTTTTCCACTTCAACATAATGAAACGAACATCCAGACTCCAAAGTAAAAAAAAAAAAAATTAAGCCTAACCTGCTGAGGTTTTTTAAAAAACGAATTTTTAATCATCTCAGCATCTATCTGCTCTGGTTTTGTACGTTTTTGCTCTTCCAGCAGGTTTTGTATAAAGTGCGTCACAACGCAGGGTTTGTTTGGTAACTTTATCTAATCKGTAAAAACTAACACTGACTGTTCAGGAGGACAGCGTTGATACTTTAAAGCTGATGAAAACACGTGATTTTTCTTAGCTCCTGTAGAAAATGGACAAAAGGAGACACAAGTGCCCACACAGGAGTTTAAAGGTGTCTAAAGTGTGTCCTAAAAATCTCCTACGTCAGCTACGTCTACGTTTATGATTTCTAAAATAAAAACTGAAACATTTAGACAATTTCGGTTTTGMCAGTGTTTGCATGGAACACACAATAATTGTTTTGGGATTACAACATAGCAGGAAGTGATGTGTGGTGTAACCAGAAGACTAACCAGCAAAACGATTCAGAAACTGGTTTGTGTTTTACATTCAAMTGTGAGCTGCTTCTTTAAGATTAAGAAGAAATCCTTGTCTCCACCCTGTTTAATGTTTTTTTCCCGTTGTTTTATGCTGACAAAGTTTGAACTCTGTTCAAGATAAGAACACGTCAACATGGCAGATGTCAGTTTTTTTTTACAGGGTTTTGTGGCTGCAGATGGTAAAATGGCTGATTTGGTTTCTGTTTCAGTCTGATTAATTCTTGTTAACCAAAGCTTTGTGTTTTCAGGGCCAGGAATGTGCAAACAGCATGTTCTCTGCGTTYGATTGTAGCGAACAGAACTGTTTTCAGTCTGATCTCGAGCCGTTTAAATCTCCTGCTAAATCTTCTCAAGCAACTTTGTGAATTAATACATTGATTTGGTTCAGTCTGACCTGTCTGAACTCTTGAGTGAGATGCTCAAACACCTTGATAAACAATCAAATTATCATTTCAGTTTATTGATTTGCAGGTTGTTGTTCATTAAAACCTGCTCAACACACCCAGAAAAACTTTAATTAGAAAAAAATGGATATATTTACAGTCTTTTTTTAAATGAGTACTTGTAGGTTTAATACATCAAATTTTTGTGAGTTTTATCTGTTGTTGACTTCTGTGTTGTCGTTAATCTGCTCATGCCTTCATGAAAGAAATAACTGAGAAGGTTAACGATGGGTTTGAATGTTAGTCGTAATGTTCCCACTACTTCAGAGTTTTGTTTAAACAAGGAAGTTTTCTTTCAGTTTCTCTGCCTGAGCAGGTTTATAGTAAACAAAGGCAGCAGCAGCGGGTAGTCTGTTAATATCGGAGTTAATTTTTTGTCAGAGCTAAACCTGACTGAGCGTGAAGGCAGACCGACGCAGCAACAGGAAGTGAGCAGTTTAACTGATGAGCTGGTGTGGAGTGACAGCTGGATGGATAAAGACCGTCTGTCCAACCTGACCTTAGGTCACCTCACACAGTCTGACCGCTCTCTGCCTGTTTTTCTTTTTTTATTATTATTCTTTCCACATTCACCAGCCCTCCGAGCTCCTGCAGATATCAGATATTCAACAGATTATTACGTCGTAGAAACAGTTATTAGTTGCAGTCAGCCCACAGGCTGTAGACGGGTAGATTAATGTGCTTCTTTTTTTAGTTTGAATCTAGCAGATACCAGGGGCCTCGTGTACAAAGCAGGGGTCGACATAACCATTGTTTAGGTTGTCCGAGACGACCTATTTTCATTTCGGACAACCAGATCCCGCCTCCCAGTTGTCCGGTGGACAACCAAGAAAAAAGCAGCGAGTTGGTCATTGTAAAAATGAACAGGAGAAAAAAAAACTTGTTAAAGCCTAGGGATTAAACTGAYGGTTCTTTCACCCAATAAAGAGAACCACAGTCAAAGTTTTACCCAATCAGAACAGAGCAGGGCGGGTCTTGCTGTCTGACTGACACCGCTGCCTTTTTTTTACGTCTACGTTTCACTTTGTTTTTCCTCTAAAGTCACAGGGTTTTCTGAGTCGGCTTCAGGTGCTTGTAGTTAATCATAATATCTTTTAAATTTAACCAGGTGTTTCAATGCCTTTACATTACACAACAATTATAGTGGAGAAACATGTCAGTTTGGTAAAAAAACAGTAAAAATAAACTGTTTTTTCTGTGCATAGAACTTCTTGTGCTATAATTTTTTTAAAATAAATACATCAAAGCTCCTCAGTTGAAAACACTAAAATGACAGAAGAGCTGTTTAAATCCCCTTTATCCAGAAAGTCTTCAGTCCTAAGAACACTAAACTGTAGCTTTAATAAGGTCATGTAGACAGTAGGCTATACTACTATTTAAATAAAAATGTTTTACCTGTAAGCAGAAAGTTATGGTTGTTGGATGTTAATTGTTGCTCTCTATTTCAAAGAAGAGGATAAGGAGGAGTTTTACTCAAGCAGCTCCTGAAACTGTTAACCTGCAGACTGAGAACATTTGTATAAAGTAAATTTTGTGTACAGAACAATATAGTCTACCTATTAAGTTACATTTTAATTGAGTTTTTTTTTTTTTTTGGGACAACCAAAATGTTTTGCGGACAACCAGATTCTGTCAGCAGGTTGTCCGCTGGACAACCTGTAAAAAATCCTTATGTCTACCCCTGCAAAGACGTGTATGGATTTCTTATGGAAATGTAGCATAACATCAAATCAAGAAAACAGCGTACGCACAAATATATCCAGATGTATCAAACAGTGCATACGCCTGAATCCACCCACATTTCTTTTGGACATCACAATTAACGTGGAACTGAGCGCATGTGAGACACCTCCCCTGACATGCCTTCATTTACTTTAAATAGATACAAATATCTCCAGCATGTATGACAGAGGTATTAATGGGATCAGAAATGATTTCTAGATGCAGGAAAATAATGAATTAAATGTGATTTGAGTGAGAAAAAAATGACAAAATAAGTAGTGGGGAGTAAAAATGTGTTTGTCGTGCAAAAGCCGAGTCATTGTGCGTGTTTGCGTGTGTGYGTGAAGCTGCTGCTATCAGGGACGCAGCCATTAGAGCCTTTCTTAGACTGAAATATTTTTCTGATACTCCTTGACTTTAATAACATAATAACTAAACACAGAGGAGCTCAGATGTTCGGTAGATCGTAATTTTTAAATTTTTATTTAATTTTATTTTTTTGTATTCATTGTTAATCATGTATTTMTGGTGTGAATGAGAATAGATTTCCCAGAATCACCTCTAACTGTCGGCAGCGGAACCAGAACCACAGAAATGTGTGTACGGCAGTCATGAAGTGGGCATGGTGCTGCACACATATCCACGCTCGTTTCATTTTCGATGCATCTGGAGTTTTGCGTGAAAAAGGGTGCATGCTTTTTGTGCGTATGCACAGTTGGTACATGAGGCCTCAGAACACCTATAAAAACACCTCTTATTAAAGCTACATGTTCAGCTGCGTTCCTGTTTGAGCCCACACCAAATATTAATCTAATATGGAGGCTATGACAGAATTTACAGCTTGATCTTTTCGTTTAAAATTAGAGCGTATGTTTGAACTATTTGTTTAAGCTAATAAACAGCGAAGGGGACTTCCTGCAGACGAGCTGAGGTGGGTGAAACTGAACTCCTGAGATTTTGTTTTGCAGCTGCGTGTCAGACTTTATCTGCTGATAATAATCAAACTTTCAGTTACARAAACCTCTTTTTAGCCGTGTCTCTAATAGTAACGTTAAACTTGACTGCAGCTGAAGGTGTTGATGTCATGCCTGAGTGTCTAAAAATGTATCAGTGAAAAGTTTATTTCTGACWATAGATCAGAACTGTTTCTCTCCATGGCAGTCTAAATAAAATGCTGTTRGTCTATTAGAGGTGGTACATTTTCCACCTTTCTAATTTAACTTTCCCTTTCAAAAGTTTCTCCTGTAAATAAATGTAGAGTTCACATCTGTATTCTGTGATAGGTTTCCAAATTATTGGCTTGTAAACACCAGGAGTCAGCATTTATAGAAGAAGTACAACCCAATGGAACAGTTTACTGTGATGGACTTGTGATCTGTCCAGGTTAACCCTGCCCCATCAGTGTCTGCTGGACGTGGGCACCAGTGACCCCTGTGACCTGGACAGAAAGCAGTGGGTCAAGATAATGTTTGGCTTGTGTAGAGTGACTGACAGCCTGACAAACCAGGGTTCACTTTATTAGCTGGTCATTAGCTTCAAGAGGCTGTATACTTCATTATAGCCATGCTAAAACAACAGTAATAGCTAACACTGAAATAATTATCTTTCAGTTCCTAGGAGCTAAACACTTGTAGACATTTAATTTTTACATTTTCATTTAGTCCATCTTGACATTTGAAATAATTTAAACCTATATTTTAGTCTTGCTGTTATTCCAAACATGAAAATGGAGGCGTTGTTTGTTGTTGTTGTTGTTGTTGTTGTTGTTGTTGTTGTTGTTGCTCCATCTTCATCACAAAGTTGGTTAGAGACTGGTCCAGTTCTTGGCTTCTCCCTCAGCTTCCTGCCTGTCTGTC